GACAGGAAACAGAGAGAGAGAGAGAGAGAGAGAGAGAGAGAGAGAGAGAAACAGCTGGGCTGAAACTAAACATGTGCTTCCATGGCCAGCAGAGCTAAAACACAGCGGCTAAATATTTGAGATATTGAAGGAAAACATTTGAGCGTTTCCTCCACCACAGACGCAACGTGGATACATTCCTGACCCAAACTAAACCCACATAAATCTAATACAAATCATCCACAAAAAACACACTAAAACGCTCACTAAAGACAGAGACAGACAGATGGAGAGAGACGGAGAAAGATTCGGCTGTGGAACCTCCAGCAGTGAACAGCTGCATAGAAAAACTCACGCTACCATGGTAACCACCGTCTCCAATCTAAGTCATTAAAAAAAAAGAAAGAAAAAGAAACAAAGATTGTAAAGATCCAAAGCAGCACCAGATCTGGGATGAGACCAGGGTTCGGTCGCCATCGCAACCATAAACATTTACAAGGTCAAAAGGTCAAAAGGCCAGAGGAACTCCCAGGTGGTCCGAAGACTCGATCCCAATGCCAATCCAATGACTCCAGACTAAAACTATTCCAATGGTTATCCAACACTGAAACATGTCAGAGAAAATAAATGTACGATAAAATCCAAAAGACTGACCACTTCACTTCAAGTCTACATTACTGTTCAAAGGTTTGGGGTTGTTAAGATATTTATGTTTTTTAAAGAAGTAACTGTTTTCTATTTCAATATAGTTTCAAATGTAATTTACTCCTGTGATCAATTCTGAATTTTCAGTCTTCAGTGTCACATGTTTCTTCAGAAATCATTATAATATGAAGATTTGCTGCTCAAGAAACATTTATTATTATTATCAGTGTTGAAAATTTTAATATTTCTGTAAAAGAACAGCCTTTGCTGTCACTTTTGATAAATTTATTGCATGCATGCTGAATAAAGAAATTAATTTTAAAAAATGTGCTGACCCCAAACCTTTAAAATGGGACTGTATAAATTCAGGAAAAAAAACTATGAAGTAAGTCAAAGTCTAGACCCTGAATATAAGACGACCGCGTTTTTTCAGATGTATTTCCAAGAAGAAAATATCGTCTTATATTCGGGACAATACGGTACATGTAACAGTAGGGTTGCCAACTTCAGAAAACGAAAATACGGGACAATATATATATATATATATATATATATATATATGCTAGTGTACTCCTAAACACTAACAAAATCAGCTTCATGTATATATAAAATTAAATTCATTAAATATAAAAAGTAGTTCACAAGGATATGATCCGACATGTCCAAAATAATGCTCTCTAGAATGAAACTCCCTCTGCTCCTAAATTATAAACACCACCTGCCTTTTTCTAACAATAGAAATAGGAAATCATGGTTTATTACGGTCATGTAAACTAAAGGCTATTGGCCAAAAAAAATAAAATAAAACACAATATGTTTCACCCCAACGTCCTGTCCTGTTTCCATAGGAAATATGGCAACACAGAATATAAAGAGCTATACATACAACAACCCTTACATTACTTTAAAAACCAACGGAGCGAGTCAGGAAACTAGATAACTAACAAGTTTAACTAACTTGTTCAAGATTATTCAAACTAGCTATGCTTCAAAGAATTAAAAGAAAATCTCTCAAACAATTTGCGAACAAGCAGCATTTCCATTCAGTGTGCAAAATATAAATGGAAATGAATGTTGCACCCACTGGGGAAGCCACTGTAACTTTTCATGCTAATGAAAAATGCATCCACCTCAATCAAACATATTATGCAATATCCCAAAATTCTCCTGAAACTATACAGATCGCTTGTTTGTTGGTGTCCGTTTGTACGTCTCTGCAGCTTTGGCTATTTTCATGATGAAAAAATGACTTTTTACACTGACACGTTTCAGAATGCAACAACTTACGAAACAGAGCTTGCAGAGCTAGTAGCATTAGCTTTCACATACTTGTGCAGAGTATGATTTAGGCCAGGGGTGGCCTACGTCGGTCCTGGAGAGTTTTGCTTCAATCTTGATAAAAACTCACCTGCCGGTAGCTTTCTACAGTGCGTTCCAAACGGGATATATCGCCCTCCGAAGGGCACTTCGAAGTGAAAACAATCATGGCCGCCATATTGAAGGGTCGTTCCAAACCAAAGTGTTCAAAACTGGCCACTTCAAAGGGCCCTTCGGAATGAAGGATTTCGAAGGGTACAACTGATGGACACTTCGGGCTCCCATGATCCTTTGCACGATGACGGCGCCTGATGATGACGCAGAAGGGCACTTCAAGAAACAATTGTTTGATCCCCTTCAACCCTTCAACCCTTCGAAGCTCTCACTCCGGAGGGTAAACTCTTTCAAGGGATTAGGGCATAGGGATGAGCCCTTCCGAATGGAACGCAGGGCTAGTAACCCTTAGACCTTGATTAGCTTGTTCAGGTGTGTTTGATTAGGGTCAGAGCGAAACTCTGCAGGACTGTGGCTCTCCAGCACCAACGTTGGCCACCCCTGATTTAGGCCTAAAAACAAAGTGGTTGGTCGTTTTACATGTCATTCAGACAGTCTTTTCCTGTCTAACTGACTATGCCAATAGTCAAAACCCTGCTATGTGAGGCTAAGTCACATCTGCTAGCAGAATACAGGTAAATGTGAAAACCAGAAACGCAAACCACACCTGAACAGAACATTCCAGCATTTCCAGAACTGCACAAGACACTGAAACGTTTCCTACGTTCCCTAAATAAACAAAACTGATATTCATATTATATGTAACATTTAAATCTAGCATACATACACAGTACACACACACATATATTATGTAAACAAAAACTTTTATTTTGGATTAGATTAATCGCGATTAATCGTTTGACAGCACTAATTTATATTTATATATATATATATATATATATTAGGGCTGTCAGTTGACCACGTTAACTTAATTAGTTATGAAAAAATAACGTGATTAAAATATTTTATCGCAGTTAACACACTGCGGGGCGCCCCCAAATCTGTACGTCATCTTACATTTCATAGTTGACTGTTGTCAAATACAATGCAGGGCAACCACTCCAAAAATGCAGGTATGCCCCAAAATTCAAGATATTGGGGGGGAGGGAATGCCCCTGTATGTCTCATATCTCTTTGTCTCATATTTATATAAGCGATATCACACGAGCAGCGAGAGCAATATCACAGTTCTGTTTTTGTCCTGATTTGCACGAGTGCAAAGGTGATTTGATACAACAGTTCAGTAAATAAGAAGTTAAGATTCTATTATATTTTAAACACAATATTGTGTGTTTCATCTCAATTTTGCCAACGAAAATATTACCTATAAAGTCACAGCAGAACTGTTGTGCATCTGTAAACAACACAGCGTTGTTTGGTTTCTGAATGAATCTGCGTTTTGAACGAATCATGTGAACCAATGATTCAAAGGCCCATTAAAGACAGACGGTGCGTTCCAAACGGGATATATCGCCCTCCGAAGGGCACTTCGAAGTGAAAACAATCATGGCCGCCATATTGAAGGGTCGTTCCAAACCAAAGTGTTCAAAACTGGCCACTTCAAAGGGCCCTTCGGAATGAAGGATTTCGAAGGGTACAACTGATGGACACTTCGGGCTCCCATGATCCTTTGCACGATGACGGCGCCTGATGATGACGCAGAAGGGCACTTCAAGAAACAATTGTTTGATCCCCTTCAACCCTTCAACCCTTCGAAGCTCTCACTCCGGAGGGTAAACTCTTTCAAGGGATTAGGGCATAGGGATGAGCCCTTCCGAATGGAACGCAGGGCTAGTAACCCTTAGACCTTGATTAGCTTGTTCAGGTGTGTTTGATTAGGGTCAGAGCGAAACTCTGCAGGACTGTGGCTCTCCAGCACCAACGTTGGCCACCCCTGATTTAGGCCTAAAAACAAAGTGGTTGGTCGTTTTACATGTCATTCAGACAGTCTTTTCCTGTCTAACTGACTATGCCAATAGTCAAAACCCTGCTATGTGAGGCTAAGTCACATCTGCTAGCAGAATACAGGTAAATGTGAAAACCAGAAACGCAAACCACACCTGAACAGAACATTCCAGCATTTCCAGAACTGCACAAGACACTGAAACGTTTCCTACGTTCCCTAAATAAACAAAACTGATATTCATATTATATGTAACATTTAAATCTAGCATACAGAACATGCACTGTTCACAGCCACACACTCATGATGAGGGAAACTCCACTTGTGCTGCACATTTGACATACAGCTTAAAGGTCAGACTGGGTCAATAAACTGCATTTCCACTGAAAGTCTAGTGCAAAGCCCATGTTCATCTGTGAGATATAAGAACTTCCAATATTTACAATACAGCCACTCGGTCACTCAGACCGACCCCCGGCGGTGAAGCTCACAGTCAAAACCCACCGCAGGGAAATAAAGACTCACATTACACAAACAGTCAGCGGAGGAACCAACACAAAACATTACAGCACATAAAAGATCGACAGCTTGTGCAGGATAGTCGCCAAACGACAGGGGAGACTTTACTGAATCACTGAACAAACCCCAAAAAAACAGCTGTGCTCAGAATTATTAGCACCCTTGGTAAATATGAGCAAAGGCAGCTGTGAAAATAAATCTGCATTGTTTATCCTTTTGATCTTTCATTTGCCCTCCACTAATATTGGCACCCTTGGTAAATATGAGCAAAGGCGGCTGTGATAATAAATCTGTGTTGTTTATCCTTTTGATCTTTCATTCAAAAAATTCACAAAATTCTAACCTGTCATTGAAGTAAATCAATACACATTTGCCACAATTATTAGCACCCCTAGAAATTATTATGGAGTAAAATATCTCTGAAGTACATTCCCATTCATATTTACAGTTTTAGCACACCAGGGTGACTAGGAGCATGACATTTTTGACTTTAAGGAAATAAAATGCTACAAAAAATGTAGTATATGCCCAATTTAAAGGAGTTAACTGCCATTTAGTTGTCTATATTTCCTTTATAGGGTGAGAGCTTTTGAACTTTCTGCACTCGAAGCCTCACAAAGACAGAAGCAGCTAGGACAGGAGGTGGAAGTTATTCTATAGAGCGTGTCTATACATGCAGACCTAAACCTCCCTCTCTGTCTCCACCACACACTTCCTCCTGAAAACAGTGACAGCGTCAAACACTCCCCTTTTCCTCGGGCCACGGAAATACTTCTAATGAGGCTCCTGAAAGTGTAAATTAAGAGGGGGAATAGTGCTCACGACAGCAAAACACTCATGTATAAGTGTCGTGCACTCACATACAGAGACCTCCAGATGGGGGTTTGTGCAGCATTTAGAGGCGTCTGATTCAGGCAAGGCAAAAATCACTACTACTATTGTTCATTTTTAGGGAAAAGTATTACATTTTGGCACATAACTCGCCCTGTACCATTTGAGCTATGGACATGAATCATACCTCAAATCAAGCAGCTTGAGGAGAGGTGTGGAAAAGGGACAAAAAAAAAAAAAGTCCTAAAAATGGTCCTAAAAAACATTTTATTTACACAAAACAGGGTTAATATTGTTAACTAAAACTAAAATGATCAAAAAAGCTGAAATTAAATTAAATTATTAATTTAATTAAATTATTAGATGAAACATTGAAAATGAACAAAAATGAGGAATGTTGCTTAAATAGCTTAAATTAGTTGAAGCTAAAACTAACTGGAAATAACTAAAACTGAACAAGAAAAAATGTATCCGTAATGGCAATATATAAAAAATCAAAATCAAAAAGCTCAAAAATGACAATTACTTAAAACTAAAACAATGAAAAAATGAATTCAAAAGCTGAAATGTAATATAAACGTTAGATGAAAAAATCTTAAAATAAAGAAAAATTAGAAATGTTGTCTTGGCATCTAAGGCCTATTAAAACCGCAGCTTTTTCTACACGGTTTGGCCGTTCGTCCAAACGCAGCACCTGGGTGAAGATTTTCAAAAACTCCAGTTGGAGTGTTATCGTGTAGACAGTAGAACCGGCTTTCTGACAAGATGCGCATTAAATATCGCATGCGATTTATCGTGCAGCCCTATTTTTTATATTTCTTTGTTTTGATTTGAGGACAAAATGTGACCAGTTTGTGAAAATTCACTTTAAAATATAGCACACTAGAATAAAGATTATTTGCAGTAATTTTATGGTGTTTTTTTTGTCTGTTCATATTTTGAAAGCTATCTGCTACAGCAGACAGCTTTGTGGACATTCTTGAAAATTTCTCCTTTTGTGTTCCATTAAAGAAAGAAAACCGTGAACATCTGGAATGGCATGAGAGTGCGTAAATGATTGCAAAACTCCATGAAGGGAGCAGATGAGGTTCGGTTTCCACTCATCAGTTTGCAGAATTGCATTGCACTTGAGCTCCTTGCAGAAACGTCAACGGCACAGAGGATCAGAGCCAGGGCCAAGCTTTCAGTCTGAACGGTCCAAAAAAGCTGCAGAGCCATCTGGCACAGGCTCACACACACTGGCAGAGTGGCAGCCACAAAAACACATGGGGGCCTCCACCCACTCACAAAACATACCCATCAAACCAAATCTCAACATTCACTAAACACTTCCGAATACACACTGATCTTGTGCCAACATTTCCACACACACGCATAATCTCCCACAGAAAGCTAATTCCGAAAATCCCTTTTTGCCAAACAAACATGCCAAATACACTTACTTCTACACACACTGATTGCAAGCCAAGCGCCATATTTACTCATACACCTAAGAAACCCTCAAACGCACAAAAAGCAAACTCCAAAAACCCACACACACACACACACACACACCACAGAGAGGACTGTATAAACTAAGCCTTTCCAGTGTTTTAATGACCTGATATGCTCAAAGTGTGTAATGAACTTCACTCTTACTTGTTCTCATTACTGGCATCATATCGGGGCATGGGATCCATGTCATTACCGTTCACATCATAACTGGCCTCATTATCCTGCGAACAGATCAAAGGAAGAAATAGACACATGAGAACACGGTCAAATGTGGATTTTTCTATCCATTATGGGAATGTGCCAGTTAGGACACTTAAAAAATGCTAAAAGTGAACAACGATTTTAGACTTGTGCATGTGAACATGTGAATCTGGACATGTACTTTCAGGACAGAGCTTATATAAACACAAAAGCATCAGTCAATTTACAGTCTCAGTCTGGGTGCTTTTGTTTTGCTCAATTGCTTTGATCCAAGACTTAGTTTTAGGTTAATAAAGCATCGTGGGTGTGCTCAAATATTATAAAAGGTAGCTACTTTAATTACACCAGAGGTGGTCTTATTATTGGGAGACACCAATGTTCGTGAATCTACCATTGGAGAAAGCGTATATCATCATACTCCAGCCTTGACGTCATTGTCCTTCTGTCAGAGCTCAGTGTTGTCAGTCACTGTTTGTGGATCCCATTGAAATGAATGACAAGTGCGCAAACTGAATCCTACTTGGCGCTTAATTGTCTGTGATTTCTCTTATTAACAAAAGCAGTTTATTCAGCATGGTGAAGCATCTCCTCCAATGACATCCATTCAAAAAATCAGCCTCTGATCTCCTACCCTGAGCTTTTTTTTTGCTAACCTTGGAGGCTTGCCTTAAAGCAGCTTTGATCATACTGATTACTTGTTTTAGCCAAATTCTAAGGCAGTATCACATGTATCCAAGAATGCACTGCAATGAGCTCAAAGGGGGAAAATTCAAGATTTCAGATGAGACGAGAGAAATGTTAATTATAAATAAACATACATTCTGTTCAATACTGAGAATCGATAAAAATAGCTCAATGTAATTAAAATGGACTGCTTTACCCAGTATTCCAGTATGCAATATGTGTTTTTATGCTTTAGAGTATAGTGACATTAGCTCAGCATCATGCAAATGTTAACTCGACAGACCGCCTTCTCATTTCTAGTGATCTCAGCAGCATAATCTTCATAGTTGGGTAAACCTTTTTTAGTGGTGAATGGAAACTACAACAAATATAATTTTTACATTTCCATTTTCCCCAATAGAAGCGTTAGTTTTCTGAAACTTAAGGTCAGGTTAATAAAACACAAAGTATAGTGTTATAAATGTACTTAAAAAAAAAAAAAAAAATGACATGAGAAATGCAATGGAAAAGCAGCGCAGTGGACTACAAAAACACGTTTTGTGTGAACAGCCCCTTAGAAGGCAGCTGGCTGTATAGTCAGTAGTCAGCAAGTCGGTTTTGGAACAGAGCAAGTATCTTAGAATAGCATACTGACATTCTGCTCTTACTATTTCTGCTGAAGTTTCTGTATGCAAAGAATACATGGATGAGAGACACAATGTGCGATATACAACAAAGCACATTACATAGAAGACTGCATCCCACAATGCAATGTGCTCAACCTGAACTACAATTTCTATTGCAAATGAATCCTTTTTTATTAAATATCAAACGCTTTTTACATTTTTATTTATTATTTGGTCAAAATGTAGAGAGTTTGCACACCACATTTGACTAAAAATGTAACCACTAATAAGTATATAATGCAGAGTATGCAGTATGCAAGAAATTACTTTCTTAAAAACACTCATACACACACACACACACACAGATACACTTACATAGTTCTGGATGAGATCTGGGTGGTTCCTCTCGATACCGTCATCCAGAATGGTAACCACCACATCCTTCCCCGTATAGCCTCTCTTCCACGCGCCCACGATATTCATGTCAGACTGACAGTTATGGATGTTATCATTACAGTGCTGCAAAGACAGAGATAAAAGAGGACGTAAAACAATCTAATTAGGTGAAGAGTCTCACACTGTAATGCTCACACACTGCTGTTCAAAAGTTTACAGCCAGTGAGTGAGATGTTGTAAAGAACTAATACTTTTATTCAGCACAGAAGCATTAAATTGTTCAAAAGTGACAGTAAAGACATTTATAATGTTACAAAATATTTACATTTCAAATAAATGCTGTTCTTTTGAACTTTATATTCATCAAATGATCCTGAAAAAAAAAATGTATCATGGTTTTCACAAAAATATTAAGCAGCACAACTGTTTTCAATATTGATAATAATAAGAAATGTTTCTTGAGCAGCAAGTAATGATACTGAAAAATCAGCTTTGCATCATAGGAACAAATGAACTTTTAAAATATATTCAAATATATAACACTTATTTTAAATTATAAAAATATTTCACAATATTACTACACTTTTGATCAAATAAATGCAGCTTTGGTGAACAAAAGAGACTTCTTTCAATCAAAAACTTTAAAAAATCTTACAGACCCCCAAACCTTTGAACAGAAATGTACATAGAAGCATTTTGAAGGACTACCATAAATACATTTAGTGTTTATGTTTGCAAATGCAAAGAAAATTTGGGTCTTCTGGTTATTATTATATAAAAAAAATGACTGAGATACAGGGTAGGGTGGATTCGATCCCACATCTCCCATGATTACCGCAGCTCAATGTGTCTGAAACATGCATGCCAAACACAAGGCCACAGCCAGAGTAAAATCCTGCCTATTTTTGGTGCTTTAAAAGAAATCCCAAGTATGTGGTAACAAGCTAAAATTATTTTTAAAACATATCTCTGTAAATTACTGCATCTTTCCTCGTCTATCTCAGACACTGTTATTACATGCGTCACATGGAACCAAATGTACAGTTTCATTGGGCCTAGAGCTGGAATTAGACCCCATCCAGGAAAGTCAAGTTTATTTGCTCCCAAAGTGCAACTCGCAGGTCAACAAGAGAAACCTGAGCCAAATGGATGCATTCAGGTCAAAGTATTAATGTTATCTGAGCCATATTAACCATTGACAGAGCTGTAACAACCCATTAGAGAACAAGCGCTTAGTTCACTCTCGCCGTTTTGGTCGAAGCTATAAATGCGATCGTAGACAGAAACTGATGACAACAATTGCTATGTGTGCTATGACTCAAGGTTTCAGCCGCAGCCAAAGTGCAACCTTTCGTACATTCTGGGAAATCTGAATGGCTGTTTACAGTGTAAAAAAGCGCAAAGATGTCTTCACATTTCCTATGTGCTGATGAACCACACCATTGACTCTCGTGAGCTGAGGAACATGACAGCTATGAAAACAAGAGCCTGTTTGTACAATTACCTCACAGAAAATGTCTCCGCTAGACGTTATGTTAGCGCTTACGAAAGCTCAATGTATCTCTCTGGGTGGTTTTCACATGTAGAAACTCGGCTAATCTGGTGTGACAGGCATCGTTTCCGTTGAGCGAGATTCAATCTGACAAATTAGTTTTAGTTAAAAACACTAAATTTTACTACCTGCCATTACGTTTTAGTGAAAGCAGTCTTGAAAAGCAGAAGATTGGCTTGGTTTTGCATTTAACTAAACACAACACGATACACTGCCTTTAATGAAAGCATTCGCAATGCATTTCGATTCAATAACGGGCTGTATTGAGGACTTAAACAGAATGAGACCTGACTTGATTTTATCCGTCTGGATTTGGAACTAGTCTGTGATATTATTGGATAAAATCATAACATCATAGTCTTTATCTCAAAGTTTCTTCCTTGCTGTTATCACTTTTCCATTGATCACTGTGGGATTTGTAAGGCGTAAGGAATAAGGAATGCTTTACAAATAAATTGAACAGAATGATTTTCCCGCCTTTTCTAACATCAGCAAGTTTTCTGAGGAGAAAGTAAATCCATTTTGATGATGGAATTTTTTCCTTTCATGTGCTTGATTCATTCACCGTAAGACCTTGGTTAAGGACGGAAGAGTTGAAAAGCTCAGTAGAGCCCCATATTTTTTGCAGTAGAGTAAGAAATGATGAAAACCATGACAATGATCAAGACTTCAGTGTTTTTCAATGTTAGCAACTCACAAGAACAATGTACAGCATGTTAATTAAGAATACTCACTATGTACCACATACTGCTCCATTTAGCATCATTGAAGTAAATGGAGCTGGACTGGACCATACTGGACTGTACAGGACCAGGATATGAGGGTTTATAATCTCGCTTTGTTCTCCTCTTCACCACCTGCTGTTGCACCCACTCCACCTGAGAAAGAAGGAGAAGAGATCCTTTAGGAACTGACAAACACCAACATCTTTTCATGACTTTTATTTTCTTTAACATTCATCTGATTAAATTAATGATGGCTACTGGACTACAGTAATGAGAAACTATCCAATGATGTTTTTTTATTTATACAAAATCAGCATGAATTAACGGTATAAACACTATGATGATATAAACATACTTTCTTTGTAGTAATACAATACGAATGATGCCAATGAATTTTTTTGGTAATGAGAATTATGGAGGAAAATATCCTTAATTATAAAAAAGGTAATGTCACGATGGAAAAATTTGTAATAATATATAGTGCTAACTTTCCTCATGCACAATATATGCACAACCTTGATTTTTCCTTTCAATATTGAGGTGAAATATACATAAGACAGGCTTCATTCATGTAGCTCACGAACATGTTTGACTTCAATTATACAGCTACAAAAAGTCCATGAATTGGTTATTGGGTAGAAATGAATATTATGTCACTATTTATTGACCCTCATGTCTTTTCAAACCTGTATGATTTTGTCCTCCACCGAATAAAAAACGCAAATGGTTATGAGACACCAGTGGTTTTAGGCATCACTGACGTCAAACTTGAAAAGACACATCTTGAGATGCCAGATTACTAAATATACAAATGCGAATGAGATTTGAAAATGCTTTTTGTCATTTTTAGAGATTGACAGACACTAGTCACCATTCACTTCAGTTGTATGGAAAAGAGCAGCATGAACATTCTGCTAAGTATCTCATTTTGTGTTCCACAGAAGAAAAACAATCAAAAAAACGATGACAATTTTAATTTTTGGATAAACAAAACAACATAGAACAACACTGTGAAGTTTCCAACATGTTAACCCAACCATCCTTTTCAAGATTAAACACAAAGCGTTGTTCATGAACAGAACTTTGCATTCGCATTGCGCAACAGTTGTTTTGAATACACTGTGAATTCTAGTCATTGATGATCAAGATCAGGAGTCCATATAGAACATAGAACACACAGGTGTGGGGTTGTCATAGTGACAGCCTGACCTTTGGCTCCATGGAGATGAAGCTGTGTGCGGCTCTGCTGAAAAGCGTCGACCTTTTTATCGTCCGGCTGTGGAAGAAATGGTAGTAGTCCTTCAGATCACCAATCTACAGGAACAACACACAAAACTGTCATTTAAAGCATAGCAACATTACAAGCACATCACAAAATAACAGGTTGCAAAACAAGAATCCAAACAAGCAGCAATACTAATACTAAGTAACTAAAAAAAGCATATCAGGGCAGGCACGTCTAATATGTAACAATATTGGTATAAATCAATAGGAAAGAGCTACAGCAACATTCACCACAGGCAAGTTGAAACCGGCATGCATCATTAATTATTTAGGATGTCATTGACTGGAAGATTGGTTACTCAAGAGGCTGCATCACTTTCCACTGAACAGATTCATTTGACAAGTGCAATAACACCTGGCAGCCATGACACATTCTCCACGACTACTGTACTCCATAGGGATACATACGTCTGCCATAAAAAAACAATGACTCTTGAAGCCAATGATAAGCTTTGCCAGTTTACAGTCAATCAAATGGGCTTAAGGTGCTTACAAAGCAACTGCTTTGAAATTAACTTGACGTAGCAAAATTCTAAGTTCATGAAGAGCATCTTATACTTTCTTTTTGTTCATGAACACATAGGCTACAGCTGGCTCCTAAGGCAATCTCATATTCCAGGATCCTATAGCAGATTCCCACAGGAGGACACAAGTCTGATGAGTTGCAAAGTTCAGGAGTGCTTAAACTTTCATAAATAGTTACTCTGGATGTGACAAGCTTGCAGTTAAGGAAGGACCTCTTTGCAGGCACAATAAGCACAGATGAGCGATAAGATAGCACATTGTGAAATCAGACACGGAACACGGTTGCAGTGAAATCTCTCACCACATGGCAGATCTGAGATCCGACATACACGCTGAGCGAAGTTTAAGGCTCCACCATAGACTTACATAAACCTATTATTTATTTAAATGCACCAGCAGCTCCCATGAGGAAGATGAAACTGAGACCAAGGCAGTTTATAGTGCTACATAATGCAGTTCTTTACATCTACTTGACAAATTAATTGCAAACGGCTGCATTATATGCAATTTTAATATGAAGTATTCCAAGTGCTCAATTAGAACATAAGAAACGTGAAAGATGTAACACTTTCAGCCTGTGTAACATTTTCAGCACGTTACAGTGAATGTTACATGCCATGAATCCTGCTGAAGCTGCATGTCATCCGTGACTTCAGTTTCTAACTTATTATTTTAGAATTCAGATGTACACCTAAAATGATCTGCTAGCATTCATTACTAACAGAAAACATTAAACAGATCCACCAACTCGCAGGAAAGTTTCAAAAACACCTGTTGTTGTTGGGAGTCAGTGGAGACCTGTTTGTTCACTGGGTTTTACCATGAGAACTGGATTTTCCTGCGCTATAAACGAGTCTTCGGGCAGACTGATGAAGATTCAAGTCTTGAAAACGTGAATTTATCAGTCTGAATTATCAGAGCACAACTCTGGGAAACTTGTGTGCAAAGCTTCCAGCCTTGACGTTTGGACTTCAATCAAAGTGAAAACACACTTGCACTGAGGGGAAAGAGTACTGGACAGCAAACACGATGAAATAACACCCGTGAAACGCTTCAGAGCAAGTTAGTGCAGGACACACGTACCTGGCCCAGGTTTCTATACCCATGTTTATTGGCGATATGGTCAGCTTGCTCAGGTCCGCCGGCTATCCGAACAGCCCAGTGGTTGGTGTAAATCCGAGCTTTGCACAGAGAAGAAGAGAAAAAAAACAAGCACAGCGAAACCAGGACGCACGGGAGGCTGTTCAAAACCATCTTTCACCCTCTCTCTCTCGCCTCGACTCTCCCCAGCACCCCCGGTTTAGGAAAACAACCAAACTTCGTCTCTCCGTTCAACGGGGATTCTCATAGAAGTGTCGCTTGAGCTCCACATATACTCAGCAGAGGGAGAACGCAGGATTTAAACTGGATACGAGCCTCGGAACGCTTCAGCCTGCCGCGCATCGGCCGCACACACTCCGACGCCACGGAGAGAGAGACGCGAGAGTCTGTTTGCACCGCTTTGGCTTGAATTGTTCTCTCAAGACAGTGCCGTTACTTCTGCCTTTTTTTTTTTTTTTTTAAGTGGAGATATGGCTCTAGCGCCTCCCTCAAATAACTACAGAGAGAGTCGGGAGAGTACGGACAACGAGCCGTGTGGGGTTACCGGGGCTCCGCAGGGTCTTAAAGACACACCGTGTTCCTTCAGCACAGATCCGGCTGCGTTGTCACATTCATCACAGCCATGAGATTCCCAGAGCCTTCTGTGAAGAATAAGGTTGACTAAGTAGCCTATACCGTTTTGCCTTCTTCTGCCTTTTTTTTTTTTTTTTAAGTGGAGATATGGCTCTAGCGCCTCCCTCAAATAACTACAGAGAGAGTCGGGAGAGTACGGACAACGAGCCGTGTGGGGTTACCGGGGCTCCGCAGGGTCTTAAAGACACACCGTGTTCCTTCAGCACAGATCCGGCTGCGTTGTCGCATTTATCACAGCGATGAGATTCCCAGAGCCTTCTGTGAAGAATAAGGTTGACTAAGTAGCCTATACCGTTTTGCCTTATTTTTATAATTATGGCCACTCATGTAGTCAGTATTAACAGCGGAGGCCAGTCAAGTATTAACAGCAGTTTGTTCTGGTCGTCAAATTTGATTGGCTATGGAGTGCTTAAATTTAATATAATGGCACTGGATGTTTCACTGTTTGTTTTATCCCCATGTTCAAAGAATTTCGAGAGAAAAAAAAACAATTGTGAGATGTAAACTCATATAATTCAGAGAAAAAAGTCAGAACATTATGATGTAAACTCATAATTCTGAAAAAAAGTCAGAATTGTGAGATGCAAACTTTGAATTGCGAGAACAAAGTCAGAATTCTGAATTTATATCGTGCAAATCTGACTTTTTTCTTATAATCTATGTATGTACAAAAATAACAGCTACCTTTTTTTAACTTTCACCCCGTGCCGGAAACGAGCTTATATATGACACAGAGGAATGATAGTGTTGGAATCACTTTTTAGGATGATTTTTTTTTCCTGTTGAAGAAAGATAAAAAACATTGACAGCCAATCAGAATCAACCTGACTTTAAAGATGTCAAGCATTTAAAATGGCAAAAGACAAAACTGCAGTGCGTGTTTACAAAGAACAGAATTTTATTGTGTGGATGCTAATATAGTTACAGTTATAGTTATCTTTATTGGTACCAAAGATGATATTGATATCTATAAAGTTTTAATAATCGTTCTAATTGTATGAGAATAGGAGGTTCACACCACAGCTTTAACCATAATGACACAGAGGAACAATATAATGGGAATCACTTTCAGGATGATTTTTTTCCAGTTGATACAAATATAAACACTGACAGCCACATAGCAACATAGCATATAATATACAATATATACACTATAGTTGTTGTTGTAGTTATACAGGCCGGTCTGTTCCAGTTCATGCATTGCTTGGTGACATGCAACACTTGATGCTTTGGCTTATTTTGGGACTATCTTCATTGGTGGAACAGGCCAAGATTTTGATCACAAGTTTATTATTAAAAGCAACTTCACATTCACACAATATCAGCATCAGTCATTTACAAAACAAAAACTGTTCTTCTGTACATTTGGAACTAACTTGTTCTTGAGTAAACACCTTGTGTGCCTTGTTGTTTACTTCGAGTCCATAGCATTCTGTCCATAAACTTGTGACTTCTAGGTCTAAGGTGGTGGGCTGCTGATAATGATTCCTCTCACAGTCGCATCCGCTCGTCACCAGACGTACTTTTGATGGCATCATTACGTGGCGAGCGTTACGCGTCGCTCTCATTCACGTCATGATTGATTGATCTGTGTTTTGGTTATCCCTCCGCGCTCTGTTCCGTTTGCAGTACAAGTGCGAATCAGCATAATTGCACTAATTACGGCCAATTTACCCGTGAATGGAGCCGCTGTCAAATCCGACAACAGACGAGGGACAAGAATATCTCACGGTCCTTATAAACTAGATGAAAGGGGACGAAAACACCCCGTGAACACGCCATTGAGTGCGAGAGCAGGATTGCAATTTAAAGCACCGAGGGAGGAGGAGAAAAGAAGGGAACATGCGGAGATTTGAGAGCGGAATCAAGTACCCAGATCACGGAGGTAGCGGGCAACCCCATTCAGCGCGTCGCATCTCTACCGGGGGGCGCAAATTCCGCTTGACAGCCATTACCCCGCGAGCCCGAGTCGCCCCCCTTCAAGTGTCTTCCTCTGAGAACGGTTACCAGCGTGCATTCCTTCTGCTGCAATTAGGCCTTTATTTATCACCTCTTCAGAGCTGAGTAAACAAACGTAATGTGCGGAAATCACTGGATAATTATTATCCCAGGGTGCGCATTATGGGGGTTTGGGGGGTCTGACCCCCCTAATTAAGGCTTGAACCCACAAAGCCAGTCAAAATAAAAGAATGGGGGGTCTAAGAAGACCGAATAATATATTGCTATTTGTTTATTTATTTTTTCTGCTGCATTTTAAAATAACATTTAAGTAAAACACAAAGTTAGTCAAGTTAAGGTGGGAATACACAATACAACTTTTTACAAATTTCGCAGAAAATCGCGTAGAGACTGATGCGCACCAACTCTGAATAGCATTCTGTCCATAAACTTGTGACTTCTAGGTCTAAGGTGGTGGGCTGCTGATAATGATTCCTCTCACAGTCGCATCCGCTCGTCACCAGACGTACTTTTGATGGCATCATTACGTGGCGAGCGTTACGCGTCGCTCTCATTCACGTCATGATTGATTGATCTGTGTTTTGGTTATCCCTCCGCGCTCTGTTCCGTTTGCAGTACAAGTGCGAATCAGCATAATTGCACTAATTACGGCCAATTTCTCCGTGAATGGAGCCGCTGTCAAATCCGACAACAGACGAGGGACAAGAATATCTCACGGTCCTTATAAACTAGATGAAAGGGGACGAAAACACCCCGTGAACACGCCATTGAGTGCGAGAGCAGGATTGCAATTTAAAGCACCGAGGGAGGAGGAGAAAAGAAGGGAACATGCGGAGATTTTAGAGCGGAATCAAGTACCCAGCTCACGGAGGTAGCGGGCAACCCCATTCAGCGCGTCGCATCTCTACCGGGGGGCGCAAATTCCGCTTGACAGCCATTACCCCGCGAGCCCGAGTCGCCCCCCTTCAAGTGTCTTCCTCTGAGAACGGTTACCAGCGTGCATTCCTTCTGCTGCAATTAGGCCTTTATTTATCACCTCTTCAGAGCTGAGTAAACAAACGTAATGTGCGGAAATCACTGGATAATTATTATCCCAGGGTGCGCATTATGGGGGTGTGGGGGGTCTGACCCCCCTAATTAAGGCTTGAACCAACAAAGCCAGTCAAAATAAAAGAATGGGGGGTCTAAGAAGACCGAATAATATATTGCTGTTTGTTTATTTATTTTTTCTGCTGCATTTTAAAATGACATTTAAGTAAAACACAAAGTTAGTGAAGTTAAGGTGGGAATACACAATACAACTTTTTTACAAATTTCGCAGAAAATCGCGTAGAGACTGATGCGCACCAACTCTGATTTTTTTTAGCTTCAATCCAGTCGGAGGACATCAAGCATGCTTGATATTTTGGGACTATTTTAGACACATAAGGTGCGTCCCAATTTGCGTACTTATACACTATTCTATGTCATTTTATAGCATAAATATTGCAAGTAGTAGGTTCACACCACTTATCCATAAATGACATTTAGAATTTATAAAATGCATACACTACAGGGTTGAGTACATAGTGCATGAGTACATAGTGTATAAGTGCATAGGCCCTGTCCCAATTAGTACACTTCATGTGCACTTGCGGACTTAAGGCCCAGGTATACTTCACTTTCCGCGTTCCATTCCATCTCGTGCACAGACGCGTCCGCACAGCTTTCAAACTATGGCCCTGTCCCGAATCACACCCTAAACCCTCACTGTTTTCCTCTGAGTCCACACTTTCGTAACTTAATTCCGCTTTGACTGTCGGTTAGAAGTCTGCTGTGGAGCTCGCCTCAGTGTGGGCTCAGCAGAAGTGCGCATCGAGGGCGCATAGCGGCCGCAAAGGGGCGCTCACGAGCACCCTTCTGTAAGCTAAAATGACGAATGGGACACCCTATGGTCTCGTAGACTTAACGGACACGCACACGCGGCGGCCATTGTAAGTCCGCAAGTGCACATGAAGTGTGCCATTTGGGACAGGGCCTATACTCAACTGCGGAGGGACGAGTTCGACACATGTGCAGTACCACCTAGTAGACTAGTTCTGTCTCAACAATCACCTTGCGCCTGCACTGTTGTACGCGGACTGTCTGCACGGTCACAAAACTTCTGATGACGAAAATTGTGTAACACGGACAGTGCGCGAACCATCGTGGATGGCCGAAGTATACTTTGGGTTTCACAATGGCCGCCGCGTGCGTATGTCTGTTAATTCCACGAGACCGTAGGGTGTCCTATTCATCATTTTAGCTTTCAGAAGGGTGCTCGCGAGCGCCCCCTTTTGGCCTCTAAGCGCCCTTGATGCGCACTTTTGCCAAACCTGCATGCACTGAGGTGAGCTCCCCCAGCAGACTTCTACTCAGCAGTCAAAGGCCCTGTCCCAAATGGCACACTTCATGTGCACTTGTGGTCTTGCGGACTTACAATGGCCGCCACGTGCGCATGTCCGTTAAGTCCACGAGACCGTAGGGTGTCCCATTCATCATTTTAGCTTTCAGAATGGTGCTCATGAGCGCCCCCTTTGAGGCCGCTATGTGCCCTCGATGCGCACTTCTGAGAGCTCCGCAGCAGACTTCTACCCAACAGTCAAAGCGGTGTTGCGTCACGAAAGCGTGGACTCAGAGGAAGAACGCGAGGGTTTAGGGTGCGATTTGGGACAGGGCCAAAGCGGCATTACGTCACGAAAGTGTACTTTGAGGAAGACCGCGAGGGTTTAAGGCCCGAGTATACTTCACTTTCTGTGTTCCGTTCTGTCTCGCGCACAGCCACATCCAGGCAGCTTTATACTCAAAGTATACTCAAACGAGGATGAGCGTGCATGGATGAGTTTGACACAAGTTGTGTGTCTCCTAGCAGTAATAAAGTACATGTTTCTGCGTGAGCTTTGTTGTGTTCCGAACAATTTAAAAGGCTGTTAATGTGTGATCCTAAGTCGATTAGCGTAATTCCTAGTTTTCTCTCAAGTATATGAGTGTTTTAAAATCTGTTTAAATTTCAAAAGTCCTGTGTATTCCAGCCTTTAGTCAGAGTGGCTACGGATGTGAACTGAAATCAGGTTCACGTGCAAAGTAACCGTAGCAAATGTTAGTTGCTCATGCTCAGCCATATTTAGAATTCTGTCTGTGAACTTCTGTTCTGCGGTAGCCCTATAGCGTAGCTGTTGAAGAATAATTAGCTGGTGAATGGATTTACTTATTGTAGACTTAACTAAAGTTATCATATGCATTGTAGTGTTCAAAGCAGATGTCATAACAAATGTCAGTTGATTGGGAAGATTTTAAAACGAGCAGTTCAGACAAAAAGCACAGTGCTGAAAAGGGTGAAGCTACATAAGGGCTATATACAGTACATACACAAGAAATACTGTCAGTATTCACCACTATATTATAGATTGACACATTACAAGTATATTGCAAAAACATTTTTATTACCATTTAAGATGTCTTTAAAAGGATAATTTAATTCATTTCATAAGCTCCATTTAATGTCACAATTCTCACACGGTCGGACCCCATGTAACTCCTCAGACCACCTAACAAGGAGTTCTGTGGCTAATGCATAGAACCCCCATGCCTTTCATTAAATGGACAAAACAGTTCAAAAATTGTTCAAAATATCTTCTTTTGTTTTCATACAGGTTTTAAACAACATGAACGTCATGAGTAAACGATGACAGAATTCTCATTTTGGGTGAATATCCCTTTATTGTCCCACACAAATGAGAAAAACCTCAACTGAAATGCACAGACAAAATTATTTAAAATATTTAATTCATTTCATAAGCTCCATTTAATGTCACAATTCTCACACGGTCGGACCCCATGTAACTCCTCAGACCACCTAACAAGGAGTTCTGTGGCTAATGCATAGAACCCATTTATTCATTTGTGCACTTGCTCACCAAATGCAATAAGAGAAGTAGGGCAGCAGCATGTAAAATGATTTGACTGGTTGATGCAGTCAAAACGATATTACCTGATAGCTTCTCTAAATTGAATTTTTGACAGGGAGGATTTTACGTGCTAAATGCTGATGGAAATGAAAGAGACAGTAGTCAAACATCACACAGGCTGGGCCCATTGACCTGCATATGTGAGAGAGACAGGCAGCCAGAAAACACACAGCAGCAAGACAAAAAGGGCTCTGTGGCCCTGACGGCAATGTGGGAGCCCCTCACTGGTCTCACTGGCAGGAGATCATTGTTATTCTCAGCAAATCAGTGCATGGATGACACACAACTTCATTCTTAGAAACATTTTCCCTCTATATGCACACACACACACACACACACACACACACACACACAGAGACTACATTATTCAGAGCCAGCCAGCTATTCAGCTGACAGACAATCTTATGCTATAGCAAAGTAAATTAATGCAAACACTGCATCAATTAATGCAAAGCCTCACTGCATCAGAGTAATTAACACTGCAGGCCGGCCCTATATATGTTGACATGAATGAAAATACACAATAGTGAGTGGCATGAAGACTGCATCATCTTCTGAAGGTCATTGTATGATATGATAAAGGACAACAATTCATTGCTTTATGTTTTAAAACCATAAACATAGACTAAAGGGATAATTCACCCAAAAGTGAAAATTGTGTCATCATTTACTCACCCGCATGTCATTCCAAAACTGTATGATTTTTTTTTTCTGCGGAACACACTCACAAAAAAAAATAATATATATATATGGGTCAAAGACATTAAGATGTCTGCATCAAAAGAAATGTACAAAAGTGATTTTATGTCCAGAGAAAGCACATTAAATGTAAGTAAAGTGTCTACTTTTATGGTTTCAAATAAGTTTTTGGAGAATAAAATGTCACAATTTGGTTGAACTAATGTTACATTGTCATTCAGTGTAACACAATATTTATATAAAAATTCAAACAACATGCTTATTCTGACGTGTACACATTAAATATATATATATATAAGAATAAGGGAGCATATTCAATTTGATTGTATTTTAAATGAGTAAAAATTCTTACTGACAAATTGGCAAAACATAGGAGAGTGGCAAATTTAAAAAATGTAAATGTAACTAATTAGTATTTGGGGTGAAAGTAATTAGTCTTTTAATATGTCATAAATAGATTTTTGTTGTAAATATGCCTGACAAGATTGTTACACTGAATGATATTTTAGTGTGTGTCTTCTGTAAATCAGGGGAAAATCTATTATATTTATTTTTTGCTCTGAAAAACAAAACAAAATTGCAATTAAATTAAACAGGATTTTTAAAAAAATTTTGGGGGGGGGAAAAGCAACAACAATTTAAAGCAGTATTACACTTATTGTTTTATGCTTAAACCCTTTTTCGTCTTTGACCCATATATATATATATATATATACATATATATATTTTTTTATTTTATTTATATTTTGGTCCATATTTGAAAGTCAGTGTTGTTTGGACCCCATTGACTTTCAGTCTTTTTATGTGTTTGAGAAAGATGTTAAATATATTAAAAATAGAAAATACTAATCAGTAAAACAATGTTTTTATTGCTTAACAATGTGTTTGTTTGTTCCTTTCTATAATAACATGTTATTATTCTCTCTCTCTAGATGGATGGATAGAAATAATCACATATCTAAAAAGATATGTAGGACGTTATAGAATAGTTCCATTCCTGGTTTCTGATTGGTCAATACAGCGTTCCAATAAGGGAACAGCTATGACGTCACTGTAAATTGTTTATTCGGCTTTGTGGCCTTAATTTTTTTAATTCAGTAAATGTTTTGTAAAAGCAATAAGGCACTTGAGGCTGTGCTGTATTGTGAATATAGTCAGTCTGCTGCACAATATAACGCAACTAAATAACACAACCCGTATTATATCGCTGAATTATATATCTGACTAAACTTTAAAAACGTAATAACTATACATAGTGCACTGATACAATGATCTATACTGTTAATTTCCTCCACTTTGACGGCAACATTAAGCACAGTAAAAAACTAGGTTACTTACTAAAGCACCGCTTCATAACACTAACACTGATGCTGGCGCCCTCTAGTGTTCAGAACTATATGCTAGCCCAGCGGTGACAGACACTAACATCACTCTTTACTGAAACACACACAAAAAAAATCAGGATGTAAAGTGAAATCATATGTTGTTAATCAACACTCCAACACTCCCACTTTCTATGAATAAAAAAATAAAATAAACGGCATTGTCATAATTACAGCAGAAATACCAAATATATATATATATATATTTAGCTAATATGGCGGCCTCAGATATTGTGTTGGACAATGGAGGGATTTAAAGAGTCAAGTTCAGAACCACTGCTGTACATTGAATGCTTATGGTTTTCATGTCATTGCAAATTGTCTCCAGGGAAGATAGAATGCAGAATTATTAGAGCGTCATCGTGACACACCACCTTCCAAACTCCTTGAACAGAACCAGCTTAGATGAGATAAAGTACCTAAAGCCCTAAACTAATTCAAGTCTGAAGAGCCTTCGCCCTGTGAATCTATTAAGGAGATGTTGGTGAGATTATTTATTTGCCTTTATTTAACCAGGAGAGAACATTACTTTAACAATGAATAGTTCTACATTAGACACTTTTATAAATACATGGACAGGAGCAGCAGAAAGTGTATACATTTTTGTTTTCATTCATTCTTTTCTTTCCTGTTATCACAGCAGTTTATAATACATCAGCAAATATGAAACAAAGTCGAATTGTGTCTTTATTCTTTTTTGTGGACTTTCTATTATTTATTTAATTCATTTTTTTTTTTTTTACAAATGCACAAATTAAATTTTTGGGTCAAATTAATTTTATGAAAAACATCAGCTTCTTTGTTACTGAAATGGCAAAAATAATTTTAATAATTTTGAGATTATAAGGTAAACAGCAGTAAACAGAAAATTAGCCAAGTTCAAACTTGCAAACAAACAACATATTTCACGTTAATGTTTACAAACGTAAAAAACCAAGCAATTCCACTGTAATAAAAACTAAAAATAATTAAAAATTCCACTAACAGTTTAAAGATGCATCCCACATGGATTAATCTAAAAACTGTCACAAGCAGCACTATGCAAATAAGAGACACACAACATAGTGAATAGCTCAGAACCTTTATTCAGAGGGCAACAAGAGTAAAATATAAAATGTATGGGCTGTTTTTCCTTTCTTTCAGGTGACAGAAATTAATTTCAGAACCATTGTACGGGAGAACTACCCCTAGAGGAAAAGAGTCAAGAGTGGTGCGCTCTCAATGCTTGTGAAGCCCCTCAAGATGTCTGAATGGATGAAACCCCACAGTTCACCCTCCTCCGCCATCAGTGCTCTAGTTCTCATTGCAATGTCTCTGTAGTTTTCCTCAAATGCTTTTCCTTTTAATTTTTCGCTACATCTCTGCAGTTTTTAAAAAGTAGTTTTTAAAAAAAAAAAAAAAAAAAAAAAAAAAAAGTCCTTCAAAAAAATAAAATGGAGCGACCACATCTAATGTTCGGCTTCTTAACATTTACAGTATATATAAATACTTACATAAATATCTTACATGGAAAACCTAATTCAGAGAAGGAACAAAAGCAGAGGAGAACGTTGGAGGAGGGGGACGGGGGACAACTGATACGGAGTGTGTTTGTGCATTTCATGTTAGAGGCAGGACAGTGTGCACACACAGATTCGGGCGTTTATGTGGGTAACAGTATAAACGGCGCGTTCAGTTAGCCCAGTATGGAGAGCTGCTGTAGTTGGACTTGCCCTGACTCTTCTGCATGCTGTTGGCCTGACTGCGTTGGCCCTGCAGAGGACAAAAAGAGTCAACATTAACCCTATAAAGCTTACTGGATCATATTTAATATGCAAATTAACATTATCAAAAAGTTTGCTGAAAACCCTGTTGCACACAATCTACTACATGCCTTCCGTCACCTGTTTGAGAGTTTATACTGAAGTTTAGCAAGGAAAAGGCATTTGAGTATAATTGTAAAAGTGTCCCCCTTCAGGTTGTGGTTCACACGTCTTTATGCAGTGAACATTTTCTGGACTGAAGCTACTTAGGTTTATTTGATTATCCATATGTCATTATATAGAAAAATCATGTTAAAATGCATCAAATTTGATAAATCAGGCTTCTGAATAACATTCATCGTGTTACACTGCATTGTTTTGCCCCCAAAATAAATTCTACAGCGCTTTGATGATAAAACTAAGCATTTATCATATTATTGAGAGATACAATGAGAGGGCTAATATTTATATGCATTTTAAGTAGACTGTTACACATTAAGAGTTAACATAAATCCATCTTTTTGGCCATTTAGCTATAAGCAACTGCACCAAATTTCATACTTTTGTTCCATTTGGGCCCCTGAATAAAACTGGTTTTTTCTCTCCATATCAGCGCCATATTCTCCTATATCATATATGAGCCATAAAAGCCTGATGTATCAAACAGTACTCAAAACACTTTTTTTTATTTTTTAAAGATTTTGTCTAAAGGTTGAATAAACTTCCATTTCACAGGGTTAAGACACAAACTGCTTCATAGGAAAAAGCTTTAAAACATTTCTGAAACACCTCAGAGCATTTGATTGTGAATACTTGTAGGCATGATGTACCTGCGTGTCTTGAGCCATGTGGTGGTGCAGTAACTGTGAGGGGGGCTGCTGATGGGGCAGTATGTGAAGGAAGGGTGCGGGGGCATATCCGGGGGCACCTGCGGGGTTAAGCGGGCCGGTTCCTCCTAGAGCTGAGGGCAGGCTGAACGCAGGGCCGGCTGCTGTAGGGAAACCCTGCTTGTCAAATGACTAGAAGGGTCAGAGAAGAGAAATTAGATTAATGGCCTTGAAAGGACCCCATAAGTAAAAAAACAACAACAAAAAAAACAAATCAAAATAAGGAATATTTAGTTTCTAATATTAATACGATTTTAAAACGTTAATTTCAAAATTAATTTAAATAGCAAAAATACAACAAATAATAATTTATAATATAACATATATATATATATATATATATATAATTTTT